ACTTTTATTATTAGTTAGTTTTAGTTTGTTGGTTTTTATTAAAACAAACTTTTCCATGAGGCTTTTTTTTGTAATTTCCTGCTTTATTTGTACATTAAATTTTTTGAACTTTTCAGTCATTTATACCCATCATCATTTTTACACTATGACAAAGAATAGTATTTTACTACATTTTATTGTAAAGCTTACATTACTTTTTGTAATATTAATGTTTAAATTTGTGATTATATATACAGGGTGTATCAACTTCTATAGTACACCCATTTAATTCGGAAACGATTAGTAAAAACTTTAGCAAAAAATTGTCTTATACAAACCCCAAATTAATTTTGGCTAGAAATCGCATGGTGGTATAAAAACTTAGAAGTAAGAGACATACCCAAGGCAGACGACCATCTTACAAAAAAATTTAAATTAGATAGTTGATAAAAAAAAATCTCAGTTCCTAGGGCTCATTGGCAAGAACTAAGAATTATAAGATTTTTCGACCTAGCATAAAAATAAGTTCCGACATGATCATTGATACAATGTCTTTCGGCTCAACTTGTTAAGTACGAACATGACTTCTTTAGCACGAAAGTAAAATTGAAAAAAATAAATAAAAACAGTGAACGAGTTGAGGAAGGAAAGGGGCGAAAGTCTGCTAAACACGCACGACCGGACAGTCATGCGGGCGTAGTAGGTCATTTTTGGAAAAGACCGCGTCCTCTTCTATCGATCCCATTTCCATAACAACGCGCCAGTCATCTGGAACTTTACCTCGGCCAAATCCAAAAGTCCCGTTCATCTCATTAGAAACCCTTGTGTCCGTCGCAGTATCGAGAAATTCGTAATTTTTCTTTTAGGCTTATTTTAGCGGATGAAATGGCGTTTTTCGGCTTCGGAGACCCCTTCGCCGCGTTCTTCAACGACCCCTTTTTCAGGTGAGCCACAGGCTGCAAAGCCACTGACCTACTCGTAAATAAACACGGCGTGATCATTAGTAACCTTATGACCTTCTTTAACACCCCCTCTTCCGTTAAGACGGCCACATTCTACAAATTACAGTAGAAACAATGGGTTTTAGCACGAACCCCGAATGAAAAACTTGTCCGATGCCAACTTCGAGTAGGACGAACTTTAATAAGAAAACGCCAAACATCACTTTTCACTGCATATGATTTACAATTTATAAAAAGTCTAAATCAAGGTCACATTGACAAACTGGCAATAAACAATTTACAGAAAAAAAGATTGAAAAGTTTCTCCTAAAAGCTCATATTTTGCATACTGACATTCTCCAGGATTAAAGCGAAAAACATCAAGCTTCTACCGAAAACAAACAACAACTAAAACTCAACAAATAAATAATATTAGAGGAGAGAAGTTGACTTACTACCAAAGACATATCCACTATCTAGAACATAACAACCACAAAATTTGTAGTTTGGTCTTTTCCAATCATTTTGGTCTGATAGACCAAAATCTGATATACCTGCTTCCGCATATTGCCATCTTCAGTGGTGGGTTTCAACAAAATCATGCATTTATATTATTACAAACACTAGTACCAACAAAAACTTAACTAGTTGGAAATGGCTATTTTACTCCTCCAAATATCGCCTCACTATCTAGCAAGACACCTTACAATCAGTGAATTGACTATAATTGAGACAAACATTTATCCACATTCTAAAACAAAACATTGGATTTGAATTACTACACTGAGCCAACAAAGACAACAGCTATTACAATGGCTACTAATTCAAATTTTCTGTCTTCTACATTCAATAAAAATCACTACTTCAGAACTTATTACTACTAATTGTAAGACTAACATGTACTAATTGTATATACTAGGTCAATTAGTTTTATTGATTTGTTACATAGTCAAATCAATAAAATGAAAACATAACATGAGAACTGGCTATTACTGCAAAGACACTGCATACAACAAAAATGCATAACTATGAATTAACTACAATTCATTTTTATTACAACCACTACAAAATTTACTTTCGCTACAAAGACACTTCAACCATCTAAGACAACCTTCACAGGATTGTCTATTTACTACATAGATAGCCCTTGAAAGCTTGTATTGGCTATTACTACAAAAGCACAGATACCAACAAAAGGCAATCAAAAATGAATTGTCTATTACTACAAAGACACTGCAACTAACAGACTTAATACCTACTAAACTGACTACACAGCTTTTAGTACAAAAATAACACCACCTACAAAACAACAAAAAGAAAGCTTGAATTTACTATTACTACAAAACACAGATACCAACAAAAGCCAGCCAAAAATGAATTATCTATTACTACAAAGACACTTCAACTAACTTTGAAGTGTCATTTTTATTATTTTCAAAGTTTATCGCATTTCAATCTTCTAATTTGAAAATCCTGTAAATAATTGTAACCTCTGAAATTGATATTGTAAATTATCCTTTTCTTATAATTATATAATTATGTATATTCTTGGAAGAGTAATGCACTCCGAACTCTGGCTGACGGTCTTGATACCATGCCATAATAATAGTGTGTTTTTTGTATTTTTAACTCTAAATTTCTTTCATTTTAAATAAAGTATATCTATCAATCAAATCAATCAATCACTTCAACTATCAAAGACTTAATACCTACAGAATTGACTACACAGGTTTTAATTTAAAAATAACATTACCTACAAAACAACAAAAAGAAAGCTTGAATTGACTATTACTACAAAAACACAGATACCAACAAAAGCCAGTCAAAAATGAATTGTCTATTACTACAAAGACACTGCAACTAACAAAGACTTAATACCTACTAAATTGACTACACAGCTTTTAGTACAAAAATAACTTCACCTACAAAACAACAAAAAGAAAGCTTGAATTGACTATTACTACAAACACACAGATACCAACAAAAGCCAGTCAAAAATGAATTTCTATTACTACAAAGACACTGCAACTAACAAAGAATTAATACATACTAAATTGACTACACAGCTTTTAGTACAAAAATAACTTCACCTACAACAAAAAGCCAGTCAAAAATGAATTGTCTATTACTACAAAGACAATCAACTATCTTAGATGTAATCACCAAAAATTGATTTTTGCTACAAAGACACTTCACCCATAAGACATAACCTCCACAGGAATCTCAATAGATAGCCCAACCAAAATTACATATGAACTGTATATTTCTAGAAAGACACTGACTTCTACAAGGGCATAACTACGCCTGAAGGACTATAATTCACTTTTACAACAAAGACACTTCAACCACCTAAGACATAACAACTACAGAATTGACTCTTTCTATAAACACTTCAGCTACCTAAGACATATCAATCACAAGATTAACTATTACTACATAGACAGTACTGTCATACTTACATGACAACTGTCTACTATTACAAAAATCCTGCCTCCAACAAAGGAAATGAGGTAATTATGTCAATTCACTTTTCGTTAAGAGGATAACTTCTCCTACAATTCCCTTTTACTACAAAGACAACCAACCATCTTTGACATAACCGCTATGGAATTGGCTTTTACTACAAAGACACTTCAGTCATCTAAGACATAAGACACAAAATTGATTTGTTCTATAAAGACACTTAAACCATGTAAGGATTATCAACAACAGAATTGAATTTTATTACAAAAACATCTAATAACCACTTAATTAGCTCATCTAAAAAGACACTTCATTAACGGATTAATTGTTAGTACAGACAAGTTATGAATAAAGTCCATAAATCATTTTTAAAACTCATTTATATGTTTATGCAATTATGATTCTTAATAAAGTCTTAAAAACAAAACTATAATAAAAAATCTTGATGTTAACAATGAAACCAGACGTTTTGTTTTAATAACACCCTAATTACAATTTCTTATTATGTCCATATGATTATTGCTAAATACGGTAGCAAAAACGTACTTTTTTATATAGAAAAATCTGATCAAACTATCGTTTAAACTTTTGGTAGAAAAACAAAAACAAAGGTAGATGTGTCTGTAGTAAAAGTCAATGGAGTTGTAATTACGGCATAACCTTGCATAATCAAACAAATCACTATAGAATTGTCTGTTACTACAAAAATACAATGTCACTAACAGCTACAAACTACATGAGAATTGGCTATGGATATAAGGACGAGGAGATAACTACTGATATGACTTTTTTAGAATGCCTATTCAGATTTCTATGAAAAGTTAGTACAAGTCAATGGTATTTTGTTTTAGTCAATCAATTTATTTGTGTACTGACATTCAGGAGTAGTTCTATTTTATTTTAAAGGTAGAGTGTCTTGTAGTAATTGCCAGTTTCAGTCTAGTTATGTTTTTGCTGAATTAAATTGTACAATATTCTAAATCTATTGTTAGAAAAATAATATTTTTCTCTAGTTTAAAAAGTTTTATTAATATTTAAATAAAGACATAATTGTTTGTATAAAAAATAGTAATAATAACAAAGCAAATTAGTTAATAGTCAGTTAAATTTCTGCCATGTCGATCAAACTTCTTTATTAAGCACAGGCGCTTGGCATGTGTACTTAATTTATCTAAATAATCTCATGTAAAAGCATAAAAACTGTTAGCTTGTGTATGCCAAATATAAATAAATCATTACGGTCTGTTTAAAAAACGCAAACCAATCACTCATGTACAATTTCTATTACAGTTATTTCTGAAGTTTTTATGCGTTAAACCAATTAAGTATTATTAAGGTGAAGAACGCCTATTCACAGACATGACAGCATTGTGTCGTAGACAAAAATTGACAAGGCTGTTTTGATGAAGTTACTGCCACTGCGCTGTTAATTATATTGGCAAAGCGATGGGGATAATTTGTTAGTTCCAACAAAGAAACATGCCAATAACGCTTGCAAAAAAAAACTTTCATTAAAGATAAAGAAACAGCAATATTTTCATTAACTCGTCATTAAATTTAAGAATTTAATTAAACCAATAATAAATCGATTAAGGAATGTTTTTTATCCTATTTTAGGACGAGCACTCCTGCAAGGGATGGGTTCCAGCAGGTGGCTCAAATGATGGATTCGATAATGTTGGACAGTTTCTCTCCGATAGCTTTCACCAAAGTCACCGCAAGGCCGAGCAGGGCCAGAAGGACAAGGCAGACCTCACCCCCTCAGTCTAGAAACCAAGGTATTCTGTTAAATTTATCTACCGTTAATCTCTTTTCTATCTCTCTCTTTTTTTCCTTTTCAATTTGCATGTTCATTTGTTCAAATAAAGAAAATGGAAGAGGTGTAAGAATGATATTTAAAAATGACAATTACAAGAAAGGTGTGAAAAACAGATTCAATAATTTTAAAGAGGTCCAGACAAAGGAGGAGCCGGCGAGGACTGGTCACACTTCGCCTAATTCAAAAGTGACCAACAAATGGGTGGCCTCCCTCAGGAAAAGGGACCCAGAACTACTACCAGCTATTAATAAACCAAGGTATTTATTTTTAAATAAAACACTTGAAAATTATTTCTTTAACAAACTCCTTTCGGAAAATGATTTATATTTTTCTAAATTTCTAATTTTTTACATTCAAATTGATTAAACACTATATTTCCTTTTACCAACGTTTTACACTCTTTATGTACCATTGAAAATTTATTTTAAATCAATGGTATTTCTTTTTATGTCTTTTTTATCTTCTCTTTTATTTAAAATCTGATGTCTTTGATTTAAGTCTATATTGTCTTTGCTATAAAATTATATCCTGCTTGTTTGGTTGTTATACTTACCTCTTCTAAGTCTCCTCACTTTATTTACGTTAAAAATTTTCGACATAAAACCAATTTCTGTAAAACTTGTAATTTTACCATATCTGATTTTTTCTTTTGTGTTTTGGTTTTTTTAAATTTGTTTTGGATTTATACGGGCTCAAATCCACACACGTACATACATACAAAAATGTGCCGAGTTGAGCTTATTCACTTCTCGTAGTCCAATGGCAATTCCAGCTTTTGCTATTTATATTAAATTACCAGCAGACTTGAGAATCATCCACCCTGGGAATTAGCAGTCCAGGGGCAGACCTCAATTTTATCCATCCACAGACTGTGGTTGGGCTCCAGGGGGGGGGTGCTGTCACAGCTAGTTCAATTCAGCACGCAACACATGCAGTTCCAAACCCACTCGTACTCAAGTTCATTTTTAAATTCACTCCTATTCATTCAATTAGGGTGGGTGGAAGTGCTTGATATTCTTCCATCACCCTTCACACATATTATATAATTAATTAAATTAAGGGTCGATGTGGTACTCGATATTTCACCATCGGCCCTTTCACATCGCACATTCACACTATTAAGTATATTCACACTAATAAATACATTAACTTTCAACACAAGCTAGGTATATACAATTATTTAATAGAACAACCCTGTTTCCTCCAAGAACTGAAACCGGGGACCCAGCTACTCAATGCCAAGCTCAATTCTCAAATTGCATGCTCTCTGTATGGAGCCAAGGGGGGCCCATGGTAGCCAAGTGGTTAAGGCGTCAGACTCTCGGCTAGTAGATCCCGCGGTCGTGGGTTCGATCCCTACTACCTCTGGACTTTTTCTGACGCCTAAGGGGACCGATGGCTGCAATGGAAAGAAATTGACACAGCACTCATCAATGGAAGGAGCGGGATCAGATCTCAGCGACCCTGAATTTGGTCCCAACCCCCTTCAAAAATGAGTTTCTTCGATGGAAGAACACCGGTACACCAGGGGCTCAAATTCACACTTGTGTTGCGAGCCCCGAAAAATGTAGCTAAGCTGTACAGCTGCAGTGCTCAGGAGGGAACTCCTCAGTTCCCGGCATCGATTGTAAAAAAAAAAAAAAAAAAAAAAAAAAAAAAAAAAAAAAAAAAAAAAAAGGAGCCAAGGAATCCCTTCAATTAGGTAGGACATGTCGAGCAATCTTTCTTTACATGTCGGACACATACACGGGCTTTAGCCCAAAAGTAAGTGTCCGTATGTCAACCTCGAATGTCCTATTCTTAACCGGGTGAGGATGACCCTTCTTTTATGAGTCAGACCCTCCGAGGGCCACTCGTCAACAGTGCTCTTGATACTTGAGAGCTTCTCTGTTTACCCAGACCATTGACGCTGGCACCTTCTTTTAATCATGGTGTTTATTGCATTCTTAGCATCAGAGGGCTGGATTGAGGTGGTTGTCTAGAGGTTGGGACGTCCCAGTCTTAGCTTAAAAAAAGAAAAAACAGTTCATTTATCGTTTAAAGTAATTTCATCATCACTAGAACATATTGATTATTACTACACAGACACCACCAACAACAAAGACAACTACCTGCAAATTGACTATTGCGAGAAAGTCACAACTAAGAACAAAAACTTTCTTTTTATAAATTTACTATTACTACAAAGACAACCACCAACAAAAAATTATCTACTTATGAATTTATTGTTACAATTCATTACTTCAGAGACAAATTATTTTAAATTATTGACCATTTGAAAGGTCTTGTTCTCTTTGTTTACCTGATTTTCATTTTCTAACAATAATTTCAATTATTTTGTAAACTTTTCTTATTTTCTTCTGTTGAAAAGAATCAGTTCGCATCATACAAGCGTACCAAAGACAAAATCAGAGAGCACGCCATCGATAATGGGAGTGTCCGGCATGCCTTACAGAAAGGACAGAAGGTCGTCACGATCCCTGTCAAAAAAGTCATCGCCCAATGTGAGTGGAGGCGAATGTGAAGAGCCAAAAGAGGTGAAAAAAGAAGGCTCGATGGGCGAGGTGTCTGAATCGAGCGAATCCGACACGAAAGACGACAGGGTGTTCCAACCCTTGGGCTACGAGCCACACCTGGTCGAAACAATCGAGAAAGACATACTTCAGAAGAATCCCAACGTTATCTGGTCACAAGTGGCTGGCCTGGTCGAAGCCAAGAGCGTCCTGCAGGAAGCGATGGTCCTTCCGCTTCTCCTTCCTGAATACTTCAAAGTAACTTTTGGTATATTAAGTTCTTTATTATTTTTTTATGTGGTTTGGTTTTTAGGGTATAAGGAGGCCATGGAAGGGCGTCCTGATGGTTGGGCCGCCAGGCACGGGAAAGACAATGCTCGCAAAAGCAGTCGCTACTGAATGTGGGACGACATTTTTCAACGTATCTTCTTCAACGCTCACTTCTAAGTACAGGGGTGAATCCGAAAAACTCGTCAGACTTCTTTTCGAAATGGTAATCCTATTTTAACAAAAACTTCAATTCACGTATAAAATAATAAAATAAAAGAACAGAAAGGGTATAATTATTAGTCTGTTGCAAAAAAACAATAAGTCTTTAAAAGTTTAATTTTTTGGCTTTCAGGCTAGGTTCTATGCGCCAAGCACAATTTTCATTGATGAAATTGACTCGCTCTGTTCGCAAAGAGGGACAGATTCAGAGCACGAAGCGTCCAGGCGTTTTAAGGCAGAACTTCTTATTCAAATGGACGGAATCAACTCCACAATGTAAATGTTTTATGGTTCATTAATTTTGCAGATTGTTTGAAAATTATGATCTTTAGGGATGATAAGATAATAATGGTTCTGGCCGCGACGAATCATCCTTGGGACATTGACGAGGCCTTCAGGAGAAGGTTTGAAAAAAGGATATTCATACCACTTCCAGAGCGTAAGATGGACTTAAAAAATAGCTTTTCATTTTATAATTTTTTTTAAAACCATAAATCATTCATTTTTTAGAAGACACTAGAGTGGCTCTTCTCGAGCTGTGTCTGAAGAATTTGGAATTTGAGCCAGCGGTGAAATTTGAAAATATATCTCAACAACTGGATGGTTACACATGCTCTGACATTATAAATGTTTGCAGGTGAGTATAATTTTTTTTTTTTTTAAACAAACGCCTTGGTGTTTTTCTTTTGTCCTCCAGAGACGCCGCTATGATGAGCATGAGGCGAAAAATCATGGGCAGGTCGCCGGAGGAGATCAAGAAGCTAAAGAAGAGCGAGGTCGACCTGCCGGTGACCGTCGCCGACTTCAAAGAGGCGATAGCCAAGTGCAGAAAATCCGTGAGCACCAAGGATGTCGAGAGGTACAAATCATGGATCGAGGAGTTCGGCTCCTGCTGATATTAGTTTTCGCCGGCTCGCTCTCAGTACAAATCCGCCCGGTGAGTCGGTCGGTGTTGTAAAAACGCTGGTTGAAATTTGATCGTGACCTTTCCATGGCCTTCTGCTGATGAATGCCATTTCGAGAGTTGACGCTTTTCTTTTTTTTTTTAAACCCTCATTTCCTTTCCGATCATTTAGCGGAAATCAAATTTGAGAAAGATAAATTATTAATAATTATTGACTTGTTTTCATTTGTTTAATTGAGACTGATTGATTTTTTTTTTTTTTTTTTAATCAATGCACATTCCTTTTTAACTACAAATCTAGAAATCGCTTAACAAAATAATAAAATTTTGTTTTGTAATCATCACAATTTGCTTTGAAATATCTCAGGGTTCTTTGATAATGAGCAAAATATATGTGGAAATAGTTTTGTAGTTAATAAATGAAAATATATTTTGTAAAAAAAACCCTAATGGTTTAGAATGTTGTATATTAAAAAATTCCAGTTATTCATTATTAATATTGTTATCTAATTATAATTAATTATTATATATGATCAATAAAATTATTTGCTTATTTAAGCTGCACTATTGATAATCCAGTTTAAAAATAGTGTTCATGCTGTAATTTTTTGAAATATAAAAATTGTCCGGTTTATTCCAAGTAATATTAACTAAAAACTACATAGTTTTTCCTATTGTTAGTATTTAAAAAAACCTAAAATATTACATAAGATTTTCCAAATTTTTAAATACTACATAAAATGAGATAATATCAGCATCAAGAAAAAATTATAATACCTCTGTGATCAAATATGCTTTAGTGTGATTAGAGAATTTGTTTAATAATATATTCTTGTCGGGTTTTAAAAATCAAAAAGAAAATTGTCATCTTTAAATATTGCCATCCTTATAAAATACCTCTTTAACGTAGATTAAGACATTAAAAGAGGTAGACATTAAAAAAAATGTAATCTAGTAAAAATTGAGAATTTTGTAAATAAAGTAGTTTATAAATATAAATATATTACTGTATATAAAAGAGAAAGGAAATACTATTCATAGACTGTATATGTAATTGCAGTTTTAGGACAAGATTTGTTATATTTGTGTAATTTCGTTGGTCTGTCTGTGAGCTGTTGAATATTTGTAAGCAGTTTTATCAGCCCTGATCATCCTGACTATTAGAAAAAAACAACTACAACTCAAATGACTATTTCTATATAGAGTAAAAATAAAATAAAAATAATGACCCAAGAATTGGCTATTGCTACAAAGACACAGCTACCAAAAGACTTTACCGTTAATGAATTAACTACGTAAAATTATTAATACAACACCACCAGCAAAACAGCAAATGACTCTTGAATTGACTGCTAATACAAGACACAGCAACCCATAAAGTAACAGACAAAAAATGAATTGTCTATTACTGAAAAGACACTGCAACTAACAAAGACTTAATAGCTACTAAACAGACCACACTTTTAGTAAAAAAAAAAAATTAAAAAATAACCACCAACAAAACAATAAATGAACCCTTGAAATGACTATTACTACAAAAACACAGATACCAACAAAACCCAGTCAAAAATGAATTGTCTATTACTACAAAGACACTGCAACTAACAGACTTTATACCTACTAAACTGACTACACAGCTTTTAGTACAAAAATATCACTACCTACAAAACAACAAAAAGATACCTTGATTTTACTATCATTACAAAAACACAGTGACCAACAAAGATTCAAGGGAAATATTAATTGTCTATTACTACAAAGACACTGCAAAAGAAATTTACTACTATTACAAAAGATCAGTGACCAACAAAGGTTCAAGGGAAATATTAATTGACTAACTACAAAGACACTGCAAAAGAAATGTATGAAATGTGCTATTATTACAAAAACACAGTGACCAACAAAGATTCAAGGGAAATATTAATTGACTATTACTAAAAAGACACTGCAAAAGAAATTTACGACTATTACAAAAACACAGTGACCAACAAAGATTCAAGGGAAATATATTGACTATTACTACAAAGACACTGCAAAAGTCTTAACATCTACTAAACTGACTTCATATAACTATTAACGCCAAGAAAAAAACCACCAACAAAAAAACTAATGACCCCCTTCAATTGACTATTTATTACAAGAAAAACTCTATAACCAACAAAAGGCCAGACTCTAACTAAATTGTCTTTACCTACTTATTATGTATTGATTGTTAATACAAAGTTATTACTACTAAGAACTTTTGAACTGTATGATTCACTGGAAAATACAAGCCCCCCCAAAGCCAATGTGGGACCACTCGGCCGAGTGGTTAGGGTATCTGACTTCTATTTGCCATGCTAGGGTACTGAGTTTGAATTTCATCATAGATTAAGGAATTTTGATTAAGAATCTTTTGGAAAAAATAATGTAAAAAAGGGTAGACTGGTTAAGACCTCCCATGAGACAGAATTTACTTTATAAAACAAATCAAATGATAACTATACATAAATTCTGCTACAAAAAAAAAAAAAAAAAAATGTGTGCAAAAAAAAAAAAAAAAAAAATGTGTGCAATTAATTAAAACTTACCAATCTGGAATTGAATATTCCAAAAAATAAATAAATCATCAAGAGCTAGACAAATTCCGGAATTGAATGAAATTTACAATTACTACAAAGCCAACATTACTGAGATTTGACTGTTACCACACAAGATCAACACCGACAAAGACCCGGTTTACTTCATATTTCCTTTAGAATCTATTAGATTTTGACCATAATATAAAAGGAACGGCGCATGATCAGGGTTGATTGTAACGTCGATGGGAGGGTAAAAAAATAAAAGACAAACTGCCATTTAATAATTTAAAAATAAATCCCTTGTATTAAATTATCTAAATTTTATATGGATTGCTTGATGATATTTTCACTATAATGAAAATACCAGGACTGATGTTGAACGGCGTAACATATAAAGGTTGTGGCATAAAATAATGCAACAATAGACACACAAACCTCTTTTGACATTAAATATTAGTTTATTTATATAGAGTAATGTCCAATAAATGTACAAGAGTGGTCCATTTGATTATCTAGGACAATAATTGGTTTATTTTGAAATTTTGGCATTGAATGCATTTATATTTTTTCTTAAACATTGCTCATAAATAATCAATAAATTATGAGACAATATTTGTTTGTTGAGACAATTCTGGCAGTGTTGAGTAATATTTTTTGTTATTTTTTTTGGAAAAGAAATTATTGGATAATGTATTTTTCATTTAGAAAATTAATTGTAGGCTAGAAATAAATAATCTTTTAAATTTTTTTAAACTGTCAAACTTGTAATATGTATTATGCAAATGTAACGTTGTATTATAATACAAAAAAAGTTATAAAATGTTTGTTCTAAATTATACCAGGGTGGCCAAGAATCCATTTGAATAATTTTTTAATATGTTGGTCTTGATGTTATTTTAATTTAGAAGAATATCCTGGAATTGGTGCTTATAAAAGGAACTAGTGGAAGCAAAGCCCAATGAAGTTATATAAATAAAGTAGTGGGGAAAAAATTTCTATATAAACAAATTTTGACAAAAAAAATTTGTGCTTAAAAGGAGAAAAAAGAGTAAGAAAACATGATATTCTAATGTATTGTGATACTTGCTAATAGAAAAATACAATTAACAGGAAAAAATTGTCTACACACATTTTCTTTAATTTTATTTACAATCCAATTTACACTGATAAATTCTTTTCAATGCTAACATTCCAATTTTCTTCTTTTTTTATATTGTACAAATCTAAGATTATCATTTCATTAGGCACAACATGTAAATTATTTGCTTTAAAGAGAATATATATATTTTTTTCTTTGAGGCATTTCAAAACACAACCTTAGTTCCACTTTTTTTAAATTTATAATTGTTTTCTGAAAATTAAATCCTCCTGCGGTGAACAAATGAAACTATTTCACTACTAAAAACAAAAATCTGTCTAAATAGAAAAAAATCACAGATCCATTTTGTAAAAAAAAAAAAAAAACTGTCGTGAACGATTTCGTTGTCTATTGACATCGGTCGTGTTTTATTTTTTAACTTATGAACACAATTTCTTAATTAAATACATTTTAAATAAATAACATATGTACAATCTTAGTCAATAGTCATAACATTCACTGTATTTCTTTTTATTTAGTTTTTATTTATTTTTTTTCATAAACATGATTAACGAGTGTTTTTAGAAAGACCAGGAGTTGAAGAAATTCGATTGAATTGTAAACTTAACACCAAACCACATCTCACGATTTCCAAATAATCATTAATTAACGGTCACTTTACCACACATGAATTTCATGAATTTTAAACTGAAAAATCAAAAAGAATATTCAATATTTATTATTTGCAATTTTTTTTTAAATGAGGTCTTTATATATTACAAATGGATATTGCTTCAATTTTGTGTGAGGGTAAAAATGGTTTAAAACCGGTGTTGGCTAATTACTACAGGATAGAAAAGTCTTGAAACTAGAAGGATTAGATAGAAAATATCCGATTTAAACTAGTTGAAATAATTAGTTTCAATATCATTTATAATTAAAAACAAGAGAAATATATAAAAATCTAATCCTTCTTGTATTTAAACTGTGTGTTGTGTATTCTAATACGTTCACTCCTAGTTGAATGATTTTGCTAAACAAATATTGATGTTGTTTTCCTTTTTTTTTTAAATTTATTTTTTAATAAATATATATTTTCTATTGTGATTGTATATTGGTGACAGGGGTTTGTATATTTACGCTAGTCGTATTGTGTTTTTTCCTAAAAGGGTTGAGCACACATAGAAAATTAAGGCAGTAGGATACAGGTAACATTCATGAAGCTTTGCCTATGACAATTTTTCTAATTGATTTTTTTTTAAAATACAATTTTCCCTTCTTTCTTCCAAGTCTCTGGAAAAACATGCTAAAATAAAATTTAAGACTTAACCAAATCAAAAACCCTAACTATCATATATTTTAAAACATTTTCAAAGGTTTTTGTCTTTTACCAAAGCGTGAAATGAAATTCACATGGTATATTATTCAATAATAATATACATAAAATAACAAAATGTTTAATAATAATAATTTTAAAAAAAGTTATGCAGAAAATTATATTTTTTGGAGATTTTATTTTTGTTTTGAATACATGAATTGGGTAATTTTCCTTTTTTCTTAAGTACAAAAATATTTTTATTTAGTTTTTAAATATTGGGGGGGGGGGAGGTCATAATTAATTTTATTTTATTTCATTTTTTTATAATATAGGATAAATGCATCTTTCTTTCTGATATGATGATGACTTATTTACCCTAATTATTACTGTCCTGTTTAAAATAAATAATGTTTAAAGCTTTGTCTATTAAAAAAATTAATTTAAAAAAATTAGAAGTTAAACCCTATAAAACAAAAAATGTTGATCAGATTAGGTGCTCATAATTTTCAATTTATTGCCAAATTGACGATTATAGTGTGCCATCTGTTTTTAAAATCCCAAAATTTTAAGCCATCCAAGAAAATAACAAATTAACAAACCATTTTTTTTTCTTTAAAAAATTTTTTTGTACAAAACAACAATAAATAAATTTATTTAATTGGGGGGAGGGGTATTAAAAATATAACACACTTGGAAGACTTTAATCGCCTTTCTTGGTCCCTCTGGATTTCCAAGCTGTCAGTAAACTGTTGGCAAAGTACAACGAAAACGAATGGACTTGGAGAGCTCCGAATATGAATACGTACCACAATATGCCATAAGGGTAGTCCTACAAACAAGAAAAAATTATATTTCAATTTATTATTTTGATGTAAGCAATTAACAATATTACCTGCCAAAGAAGTATTTCGTCTTTTTCACCAGTCGATACGTAGTGCCAAACGTCTGGGAAATAGTAGAACATTGCGTACAGGACGGGGAGCAGGCCAAATACGCCCGTCCCAATCATGTACTTCTGCATGATTGACACTTTGTTCTTCCTCGCCGCCGCGAGGCCTACGAACGTCAGGAGGATGCTAACACACCACAAGTATTCCCAGAGCAAAGGCTGTGAAAGATTTTAAATAAATATCTGTTCCAGGTTTGTCAAAAAACAGGAGAGGACGCCTCACCTTGGGCACTTGAAGTTCTTCTATTTCTAAGATAAAAATATCCAATTTGTCTAAAATGTCTGAAGACAGTTTTGCCACCATCGCAAAGAATAATAAATAATGGAAAAATATGCAATATTTAAGCCTAGATTTGTTATGAGCGCTGAAACAGAGAAAAATAACACAAATTACAAAACAATACAATTTAATATANGTTAACAAAATCAACCAATAACCAAAATAAATAAAAATGTTTTTACCAGTTTTTTAACGCTGTTTTGCTCTTGGTTGTTTATATTAAATGTAGTGTAAGACAATAGAAATAAATTCACTATTTTTTGTGGTCTGCTTGACCAATTAATATCATTCAATTAATTAAGGTTTTTAGTTGAGATAAAAAAACACAGTGTCACGAGCGGGATTGGAACCCACAACCTTCGGCTTGATACACCGCTACTCTACCACTTGAGCTATCGTGACTTTGAAGAAGAGTAGCGGCGTATCAAGTCGAAGGTCGTGGGTTCAAATCTCACTCGTGACACTGACTTTTTATCTCAACTAAAAACCTTAATTAATTGAATAACAGAAATAAAGTTAACTGATATGTATTAAATAAAATATATCAAAATAAGGATATTACTGAGATGCATAGAGAAAGGAAATATTTAAGAAACATTAAATAATTTTCATTTGTCAGTAACGGGCAAGGTCTTTCATAACAGCAAATTGTAAAATACAGCCTCATCATGCACATTGTCTATGGTTTAGATGAAGGTGTAACTTACACACACATTTAAGATTTAAGCGTAAGTTGTGCTACTTATGGTTAGACTGCAATAAAAGGTATAAAACTATAATTGCGAGGTTCAACTATGTTTAGCTTGTTGTGAATCACATTACATATATAGAAATGTCAAAATGGCAACATGAATTTCTAACACCTATGAATTAATTGCAAGCCGTTAAACAAGAATTTCATCAATTTAAGTTTTTAAGTAACAAGCAAGGTTTTTCATCGTAGCAAATCCTTCAGCCTATCATATTTGTCCATACGATAAAGAAGCAACAGGGCTGACACACAATTATGAATTTTTAAGGTTCTTTTCCTCATCATTAGTAGCAGTACAAGTGGTATTAGCTATAAAAACTATAAAACATAAAAACTATTAATTTTGTCACTCAAGTATGGTTAGCTTGGTAGTAATCATGTAGACATATAACAAAAATGTCAAAATGGTAATGCAGCAGCACACATGAAGCTGTTAAACAAAAATTTCATAAATTTTCATTTTTATATAACAGGAGAGGCCTTTCAACCCAGCAAATTTTAAAATATGATCTTATTGTACAATCTGGACATATGTTTGGACAATGGGATAACACAGACCGATATACATATATTTACCATTATTTTAAAGTTCTTTTGCATATGGTTCATCTGCAACAAGAACTACAAATACATAACTGTTTCGCTCAAGTATGTTCAGCTTGGTGTTAAGATGTCAAAATAGCAATGCAGCTAAGAATTATACAAGCCATTAAACAAAAATTGATACATGCTGATTTTTACGTATTGGTCTTTCATCACAGCAAATTGTAAAATACAGACTTTCTCTGTGATGATTGTCCATACATTTATATAAACGGGGTAATGGACCGATACACACACACATTTACGAATATTTTAAAATTATTTTGCTTTGTTAGTCTATAGTTAAAATTCTAAAACCGTCTTTGTGTGGTTCAAGTATGGTTAGCTTGGTGTTAATCGCTTAAGGTGTGTACACACTAAGCAAATCTCGGCCAACGAAAGACAACCGACCACTTTGTTCACCATGTGCTTATTCACCATGTGTGTATGGGAGGCAGTTCAGAGCCAACAGGAAACATCAAAAGGGTTGACTTTTTTACTCTTTATGAATCCCTCGGCCCCAACCCCTTGGTTTCATGAGGAGGAGCCAAAGATGGCTAATGTATTGTAACCACCTTTAGATAAGCAATGAAAACATCAAAATGCTAACGTGACATGGATTTCTAACGCTGTCTTAATGCAAGCCATTAAAACAAGAATTCCATAAATGTATCCTTGCTTTATATTATTTACACAAATATCACAGACAGTAAAAATTAGTCTAGTCATTTCATGGTTGAAAAGGTGAAGGAGAAAGTGAAAAGGGTTTCATTGTTAATATGAAAATAAAAGAATTTAAGTTTAGATACTTCTGACCAAAAATCAAGCCCTGAAGAAGATACAATAACGTTTCCAAAGATAGGCAAAGATTTAAAATTAAAAATATCTTTCTTTGACCACATCCCTGATAACGACCAAGAGAACATTATCTGCATAAGTTGGTCGATATATCTACAAAACACTAAGCTAATATAAACAATTAAAGTAGAAATGACGGAAATGAGCAAAATATGTAGAAGGGTGGAAAATTGATAGGAAATTATCAAAATTGATAAGAAAAATACAAGGAAACCTTCCTAATTATAAACCAGAGATAACCTCAACTTCTTATTATTTATTTTGCATCTGGGACCAGAGGGGTGGAAGTATCTGCATGAAAATCGGTCAAAATTGCTTTTCCGTAAAATGCCGAGTGGAATTTTGTAAAATTGTAAATTCAAATTTTTCCAAAGTGTATCACCTTATTTGATATTGTGCGGCGACTCGCTGCCTGTGCAAAAAGTCCATACCGTCCGTGCCGGCGACGGTCGGGCCGCCCCTCGAAGCCATGTCGGGAAGCGCGTCGTTGAAAAAATTCTAAGAGCGGATCATCGGCCGTCCAAAATCATAATTCGACCCGAAAGTGTGCAAACGTGGAAGAAAATTTTCCCACACTCTTTTTTCCTTTTTGTACGAGGACGGGGCGGAAAGGCGGTGAGGTGGCGCCATCTGATCCTCGAGGAACGTACGTGTACCGGATCGGTCAAAACGAGGTGTTTCCATTTCGAAAGATTTTCGATTTTTAAAAGGTCGGATTTTTTTCTGAAGCTTTCAACCGGTTTGGGGGATTTTTTTTCTTTCCGACGACGCGGGTTTTGTGGGTTTTTCGAATAATTTTGCCGTACTGGGTTTTGGCTACGTGCGGCTTTATTGACTGGCGTGGTGGGGGACTGGTAGCGGATTATTCGTCCATCATGGCCGAAGAGAAAAAGTAGTCCCTCGACCGTCGTCGGATTATTCGTGATAGTTTGACATCGGAGTGGGAAACGCGTTTTCCTTTTTCCCCGTGTGGCTTTGCTCGGTCGGAAAAGTCCGTCTCGAGGTTTTTCCGCCGTTGAAAAAGTAACCGGAGACTTTTTGTTATTGTGGCGGAGGAACATAATAACCTTTCTGTCCTAACCTCCTTTCGCGCTATCCGATCCCCCCGTCCTCTCGTACTGATATAGAAAATGCGAAATAACGTTGTGTGCCGTTTTGAAATGTGTGGTTTTTCGTTAATCGCGACTGACGAACCGGGCCGCGTCGACGGCGGAATGGCGTGTGTGTTCAAGTGATGGGAATAAAATGTTTTCGAGTGAAGTGGAATCCGAACGTATTGGGTATTGGGTAAGTTGAAAGGATCTAGATGTGGCGGGGTGTTGGCAGCTCGGCCTAACATGGCTGCGACGCGAGCTGAAACCCAGCAAAATGACGTGAATAGCAAACAAGAGCAAGGAAATAACGCTTTCCACAATGGTACGGATAACGCCGACGATTGTCGGAATCTGTTAAATACGGATGTTAAAGGTAAAAAGCCTCACAGAAATAATATTAATATAGAAATGAGTCAATTTCGTCAAGAGGGCCCCCCTCCGGTCAACAACAGCGAACAGAATGCCAATACGACCGAGGAGGGACCTAATATAAATAAAATAAACAATTCGGACCAGGGAGATGTTAATAATTACAATAAATCCGGCCCGATGCCGGATAATCAGCAGCAGCATCATCAGCAGCAGGGCTACGGACTCTACCCTCAGCGGTACGTCCACCCTGACAATCCGATGCACCAGCAAGAGATGCATCACCAGAACTCTTATTTCAACCCGAATATGAGACAGCCTTATCCGGCTGCCAAGCCTGTCCCCAGGCCGGGTTTTCAACCACAGCAGAGGTTTGTGTCGAGCCAGTCTCCTCCGACAGGACCCACTCCTACCCTCAATCAACTGCTACAGTCGAACAGTGTCCATCGATACCAGAACAACTATGACTATGGTATGGCCAAAGCACAGGGTGAGCAACCACCACCTCAGGGCTACAATCAAGGATGGCCTCCTAGACCCATGGGTCCTTATCCGCAGCAGCAGCCCTACCGCAACCAACCGCCTCCAGTAAGTCGCACTCAATGCTTATGCATGCTATCAAGTCTTTTCAATATGTATTTTATTCACATTACATTCTATTTTGAAAACAAATTGGCATTTATTTTAATATATATATATATATATATGTATTACAAAAATGAAAGGTATGTTGTGTTTAATATATATTTCAGCTATTTTTTTTTCCAAGTTGAGAATGATTTTCTTATCGAATGGCTTGGGGCATTCCAGATTCAGTCGCAGACTTGGTTCGCTTATGATTTCAATTCAATCTTATATTTGTAATTATTTCTCCTCTTTAGTGTCTTTATGGTTTGTGGTTGGTTGGTATTCATCATCATTATTATATTCTACAATATATTATTATTTAAAAATCAATAATAATAATATATTTCTATACTCATGTTACAACAATCTTAAACATTTATGAGATCTTCAAGATGTTTGGGACCATGAAATTTTTTAGAATAAAACTATATTTTATTTTACAAGGTCTAGATTGTTTTTTGTTTTATCAATCGCTTTGGTTCCAGATTCAGTCTCAGACTTCTTTCGCTTTGGATTTGAATTCAATCTTTTATTTGTAATTATTTTACTGTCTTTTTTTGGTTTGATATTTTTTATTATTTTCTAATAGGAAATCTGGTAAATTGAATGTTCAAATTCAATCATTCTAAGGGGAATTCATTTTAATAAAATTAAATCAAACATTGTTCATTCATCGATACTAGATGCTAAAATGTCCTTTTATTTTTAACAAAGATTAAATAATTTTTTAAAGTGGACAGTGAACTTATATCTTTTCATTCAAATTATCTCATATGCATTATTTTCTTCACTCATATTCCAACAATCTTAAATATATATATTAAATATTCAAGTTGTTTGAGACAATATGAGTCGATACTGATGGGCAAAGGTGAAAATTGTGTATCAGTTTTTATTCAAGTTGATAGCCTTTAAGAACAAACTCGTTTAATTGTGTGGATTATTTTTTTAATTTCAAATTAATATTTAAAAACATGTTATTCTTCCTTTTAATCTTTCCTTTTAATATTAATGTTTGGGCAGTGAAAGGCTTTCAGCGGATCTAGTTTGCGGATTGACCTCTCTGACCACATGTAGCGTTTACCCCCTAAGCCAATGCACTTTTTTAAATTCTATTTAAACATAAAAATTTATTTATTTATTTTTTAAATTAAAATCAATGTTTTTCCTGGTTGTCTTATTTATTTTGTTGGTCCTAGTCAGCAGAATGAAAATATTTCTTTTTCTATATAACCATAGGTGGGCCATCCATAATAAGCAATAACAAACCCTTTTTGTAAATGTAAAGCACAAAACCAAGTACAAACAATACAGCCTAATATATACTTACATATAAATACATGCAATTAGTTCAATCCTGTAAATATTTATTTTTTACATACTTATACATATTATACATTCATACATGCATAAGTATGGATGTATAATATTTGTTAACATTTAGCTTAAGAAATCTTAGTCAGACAATATATCAGTCTGTTTGATTTGATATTTAAATTTTTTTTATAAAATGTTTGTACAAGTTATTCATTATGGTTATTTATATATATTTAAAATAATGTGATAATAATTTAACAACATGGCTAAATTTGTCTGAAGTAGCAATTTTAGGAAATCGTAGTTTTATCTTAATTTTTTGAACTGGAAGCCTTTTTTATTCCTTTTACTTTCTTTTCTTTTCCCCTAGCTGTTGTTTTTTATATTTTCAATATTGATAGGAAATAAAAATTTGATTTTTTTTTCTGTGTGGGTATGTTATGTTTCACATTTTCTTTCAGGTTTTATTATAGGATTTAAATTTAATACTCTATTTCAGTTGTTTTTTGTTTTGTTTTTTGTTTCATATGGATTTTATTTTAGATTGATTACTTTGCAGTCGTTGACTTGTCTTCTGTTCCCAAAGCTTCAGTTATCTTATTACAAACCTGCAAAACACAGTTTAAAAATTGTCTAAATGTATTGTTGGCAATGGAACTTAATTGTCAAAAAAATGATAGTCGAATTGAACTAACCAAACAAAATACACTTTTATAGTATTTAAATAAATACAAATAAATTTCTTTTGGTCGTTACCAAGCTGAAAATATTGATCTCAGTTACATTGTACTATGTGAATTTAGGTATTAACCAAGAGTTTTCCCAGGTACCTACCTACCTTTAATGTTCGAGAAAGTTGAAAGTAAAGTACCAACTTGCAAGCTCCTTTTGCTTAATATTCCACGTTATTTGCTGTCTGGGTCAATACTAATCGAAGTAAAATAGAAGCCTTTGATTCGGATAGTTTTTCCTATTAGCTTTACTACCTCTTAGTCGTTTTCAGCTATGGTATGGTAGGGTTGTTTCTGACTACCATTAGGTATAAATTGTGCAGAAGTGTGGGAGTATGTTATAAACAAGCCGGGGTATTAGTCAGTAATTCCGACCTTTGAACGGTTCAGAACGGGCAGTCTTTTTTAAGGTTTATTGACATTAATCTCACGAGGATTTTTTATAATCCGTATCGAATTTTTGGTTTGTGTCAAGCTAAGAAGAAGAAATGAACATGAAATTTATCTAGATTTTGTTATAATTTTAAATATTAATGTAGATTATTAAAACAATCGAAATATTGAATTAGTCAAGTTATATTTAACTCAAATCTATGCAGTTTAACTTTCTAAATAACAAACAATAAATAAGTAGTAACAATGTTAAATCATTTGCCAAAATAGTTTAGTTGGAAGTAGTTTGTTTTGAAGAAGTATTTTTAAAACATTTCCACTTTTGTGTTGCTTTTTTTTTTTTTTTTTGTAATACAATATATTGCATTCTCGACACAAAGATTTATGATTTTCTTTTATTCGTTAACAAACGATAAATTTTATTCTTGAGTTTTAATTTATATTTTTTTATTTTATATTTATTTATTTTTTATTGTTCCATATTAGGAAGATATAAATAGACAAAATTTTCCCAGTAGTATAATATGTATTGTACGTTTTGTCCAGTATTTGTTAATCAATTCTTTGCTGCGACATTTTGTTTTAATGTTAAGTCAAGAAGACACAGCGAACATTGGCGGTCCAAAGAGTCACGTCTGTGCGCCCCCCTCATTCTCTCTCTCCTCTCTCTCTCTCCTCTCTCTCTCTCTCTCTCTCTCTCTCTCTCTCTCTCTCCTCTCTCTCTCTCTCTCTTTCTTTCTTTCTTTCTTTCTTTCTCTCTCTCTCTCTCTCTCTATTTATCTATCTACCTAATCTATCTATTTCAAATTTCTCTGTGTCTTTCTGCTTTTTTTACATCCCTTCCAATTCTCTTTTTCTCTCTTTCTTTCCTTTTGCTTGTCTGTCTTTCTCCACATCCACACGTTAAATCATTAATGAAAATAAATACCCGTTGGTTGTTTTTGTTTTATATTAACATATCATAATAAATAAGGTAGATATATATTGTTATTTAAAAAAAAAAAAAAAAAAAAAAAAAAAAAGGAAAGCCATAATTATGTACTTTCTTTGTGTTGTTCCATTGATAAACTAGTGTCAACATTGTCCCTCGAGATCGTTTCACGCATTGAATCGGTTATTAAAATGCACAACTATGGGAAAAAGAAAAAAAACCCACTGAATACAAGCTGTTTGTTATGTTTATATTGTCCGAATGTCATTATTCACAAGTCAGGCATGACTAATCGGTCTTGTTTATTTTACCCCGGTTCTCCCTAGTCCAATAAAATGTTCTTTTGTTTTACCTGGCCGCGAAGAAATTCTTAGCCCATTTGGGTCTGCTTTTTTTTAATAAAAGGAAGTTCTTACATTAAATTGTTTATTCTGGTTTGTTATTCCTTTTTAACTTTCTGGGTTTCATTTTTTATCTAATATTGTTTTAATTTGGTTTTCTTCTCTGATGCTTCTATTGAGTGCCCATTTTGTCCAATCTACAAACTTTGCACACTGATTTTTTTTCCAAAAGCCAATTTTGGTAAGTAGTATTGAATGGGAATTAAAAGTTCGTCAATAAAACAAAGGGCTTCCATTGATATTCTACAAGTAATTATGAATGAGCCGGTATCGACTGCACATGGCCATTAGAGGGTGTAATGAGAAAAGTCCAGGCGAAGGTTGACATTTCGTCTAGTAAGTCAATTTTAAGTTACCCGGATGTAGCGCGTAGTAATTTTATTTAAATTGTTTCCATTAATTCATTTTGGCTTAGTTTAGACTCGTAGGCCAGACAGATAAAGGAAGAATTTGAGGAAGTGTTTTTTTTTTTTTTTAATAAAGGTAAAACACCCTTCTGTCCGTTTATTTATTGATGGCGCATTCTCTTTAAGTTGTGTTTCTAGCTTGCATGGCATGATTCAGCGATTTTTTGTCTGACCTATCGCGTACCAGTCTTCTCACGGTACGGCGGATATTTTTTGACTTTTTACCCTTTAAAAAAAAATCCGTAAATTTTCTGAGTTGAGGAGTTAAGGTGATAGCAGAAAGTACGTTTTCATAGTTTCAAGATGTAGAAACACTTCCCTCTTGGGGTTGTCTGTACATAACACGGTCAGAGCTCTCTGGTGGTCAAGAAAAGCGAGGTTAGACGGACCTAAAACGTAATGTAAATAAATATACCGTAAGCACTTTTTTTTTTTTTTAACTAAATTCAAAATTTATTCTGTTTTTGCTGAACAGACTAGCCAAAAAGATCCAAATTTCATATCGATCTCATCTGTAACTTTTTTTTCTTTTAAACAAGTAGATAACAAAAAGAGCAAACAAAATTAAGGAAATGTACATATAAACCTATGCACGTATAGGCAGATTTAAACGGAGGTCAAACTTGTGTAGTTATAATATTTGAAAGTCTCTTTTTAAACAATAAAATAATTTAACTTTAAGTGTTAGTTATAACGCTTGCAATTATGTTTTAATAGTTTTTCTCAGGTTCCTACGCTGCGAACACGGGTCGAGAAGGGTGCGCATGCACAGCACTGGATC